GGGGTTTCAGAAAATAGGGGGCCCTAATATAGTACCCTAAATAGTAGGATCCTTATTATAAGGACCCCAAAATAAGGTACCCCCAATTTTGGGAAACTCCCATTTACCGCTGCAGTAGTTAAGCTTCGATGTGTGGACGGGAATGCAAGACCCTTCCGTCCCCCCCCAAAAAAGTAGGGTAGTGCGGCACCCTTATAAACAGGCCAAAGGGACCCTAAATAAGAGAACTACCCGATGCGATGTCACGCGTTATATGGCAATTCGGCCATGGGCTTCATCTTATGCATCTTCTGGATCGGCTCTTTTTTGCCGCAGGCACTTAATCCATAGCCAAACCATGCAGGGATTCTACCAGGGTTTTTTAATGGCTTAGGGCGATTACTTAGCGGATTCCGGACGTCGCCATTGCGAAATCTCGAGGAGCTGCCTGGTTGTGACCTTGGACATACATACACATACTTCTTTCATAATACTGAAGTTTCAGTTTCCTATGGGCTCGTAGCACCGGCTCCGAGATCGAAAGAGTCCCAAACAAGTTCTTTCGGTTTAGGTTGGGAACTTCCTCACCACCCTGTTTGGGCATTGTATAGAGGCCTAATTAATTACCATGAATTTGTTGGGGTTCCTTATTATGGTTATAGTATCATGGACCCAAAGACCCTGTTCTAACTGTTAAGGCTTCTACATTAAGGCCTTGCGCAGTGTGCAGACCACCCAGACCGTTTGTTTGTGCAGTGCGCTTGCGCTCTTGCAGACCTAAACCCTAAACCCAAAGCCCTAAACCCTAAACTTAAAGCTTCTACACCCTGTAGATGTAGACCTTGAGACTGGGAGCACTGGGAGCTCCGAAACCCAAGTAGAGAGACTGGGCCTTGGGCGGGTCCTTGAGCTCGAAGGTTTTTGGCAAGGATGATCGGGCCTTGATAACTGGAGCAGGGTCGTGGAGACTCTTGTAGTACCTATAATCCATTGTAGTTCTTTTTTTGGGGGATACCTTATAAAATCCTTAATATATAATTGGTTAAAACCAAAAAAGGAACTACAATGGAGACTATAGGTATAATTACATGGGCATTGAAGGCGGCACTGTCACTAGCAGTCCGGACCCCTACAACTAGTAGTGCTCGTTGTTGAGGGTTCAGAGCTGCGTTGAGACAGTCGGGTCGGTCGGTAAGTTGTGGAGATCAGACCCTAAACCCTAAACCCTAAACCCTAAACCCTAAACCCTAAACCCTAAACCCTAAAACGCGGGACACTTTGAAACCCCACAACTTTTCATCCCCAGCCCCAAGCCTGAAATCCATAGCCTAGTGACCTAAGAAGCCTAACCCTAAACCCTAAAACGATACACCCAAGGCCTTAAGCTGAAGCCGCTCCAGCCGTTCCTGGAGTCCCTGATCCTGGGAAGCGCGCCTTTCTTTTGGCTCCAGGAGACCTCAGCCCTCCTAGATCTCCCCAGAACAGGGGTGCCCTTTTAAGAAAGCCGCCGTCTCCAAAAAGCCATGCGCTCAGCCGTGGCCCTGTGCCTAGCTGCCCTGCTCGCCGCTTTTTGGCATTCCATCTCTTGTCTGGGTGCAACCGCGGGGGGGGGGCGGTTTTAGGGTTTGAGGGTTGAGGGAAAGGTGCGACACCATGCAGGGCTTTAAACGTTTTAAGGGCGTTGGAAGTCTAGGATCGAAACATGGTGGATGAAGATTCTGGCTTAAGGGCTTGGTTTACTGTAGAGTTTGACAAGGTCGTAATGCCATCTCCCAGCGTTCTCTAAGAGATTCAGACTGATATGCCACGCAAGACCATGGTATGATCATTCAGGCCTCCGTTTTAGCTTAGCTCGGGTTGGAGATCTTCGCGTCTATAGAGACCTTCTCCAAAGCCGCAAGCTGGAAGCCTGTAACAACCTGCCTGAGCCCCTTCAGAACTTCAGTCAACCCTTCAACCCAAAACTCCGAGACCCATGCAGAAAGCCCTAGTCGAGCCTGAAGAAACCCTCACTTCAAGGACCATCTTTCCCGAAACCGTTAAGCAGAACCCTGCGCAACGTCATCAGATCCCGGTAGACTCTGAAACCCAGAAAACGGCACACCTGCAACACCCCGCAACCCTAAAACCCCTAAACCCTAAACAGCCTAAGCCCAAAGCAAGTTTTCGAGGCTCGCTCTCAGGGCACCGAGGATCCCTCCGCGCTGCCCGAGGATGACGAGTGCAGCTCTGTGCCCTTGGCTGTTTAGGTTTATAGGGGTTTAATATGGGGGCCTTAAAAATTACCTATCTTGCGGGCTCCTTATTATAATACCCTATTCAAACTGTTAAGGGCGCTGCATTTTGAGTTTTGGTCAGTTTTTTTTTTTGCTGGGCGCTGTAGGGTTTCCATGGGGATGTTGCTAGAGACTTCCAGAGGTTTTGCCGGGTGTTGGGTTAAGTGTCGGGTTTGGAGTCAGAGCTCAAAGAGATTAGGTGGGTCTTGGGGTTTCGCGTCCAGCATCATGGTCTTGAGGTACAGGCCTTGACGAGGTTTTGTGGCTCCCTAAACCCTAAACCCTAAACCCTAAACCCTTTCGAGTAGAGGGTTGAGGGAAGTCTCACAGTTGCCGCTTCCGCCATGAGAAAAGCCAACGTGAGCATCGTCGCATGTCAGCATGTGTCACAACCCTATATTGCGCTGTGCCTGCTCAACCCCTGAACCTCCTCCAGGGCGAGTGCGCGGTGGACTTGCTTCAGAAGTTCCAGAAAGCCGAGTACGGCGAGGAGTGGGTGCAGCTGATTGACGCAAGGGCTGCAAGAAGCATTGCGGTTGGTTGCTGGTTGCTGGTTGCTGGTTCCTGGTTCCTGGTTGCTGTTGCTGCCGTTGTCGTTGTCGTCGTCGTCGTCGTCGTCGTCGTGGTGGTCGTTGTCGTCGTTGTGGTCGTTGTCGTCGTTGTCGTCGTTGTGGTCGTTCTCGCTGTAGTTATGGTTGTGGTTGTGGTTGTGATTGGGGTTGGGTTTGTGGTTGTGGTTGTTGTTGTTGTTGCCGCTGCTGCTGCTGCTGCTGCTGCTGCTGCTGCTGCTGCTGCTGCTTGGTGCAGTATTACAGTGTTGCTGACTGTCGGGAGTTCCCGCCATTGCCCGGTTACATCGTCATGGCAGCCCAGCGTGCCCTGGCATCGAAACCCAACCCTAGACCGCTGGCAGGTCTTCACAGTCTGCCCTAAACCCTAAACCCTAAACCCTAAACCCTAAACCCTAAACCGCGAACTAGTAGCTACAGATTCGACTTGGAGTTTCAAAAGTTTTCAGCAAAAACTCCTCTCCTCTCCGGTGAACACCGTGAGCGGTGTCAAAGCCTGCTCTGTAAACCCTCGGATTTCCATCCTCTTCCGAGCGATGTGCACCAAAAATCCGAAACCCCAAAGTCCTAAATCCCACCCTAAGCCCTAAACCTTCAACTGTAGGCCCTAAACCCTAAACTAGACCCTAAACCCTAAACCCTCCAGACTCGTGCAGACAGAAAAGAGCCCTTAAAACAAAACCCAAAACCCAAAACCCAAAACCCAAAACCCCAAACCCCAAACCCTAAACCCTAAACCCTAAACCCTAAACCCTAAACCCTAAACCCTAAACCTTAAACACCAAACCCCAAAAACCCAAAGCCCAAGCTCTAAAGATGCCCTGCCTGCAGCACAAGGAAGGCAGCACATGCCCCAGCGGGGGCTCGATCCCCTGTGAGATGAGGGGCTCCTGGCGACACTTCAGGTGGAGGGCGATTCCGAGACGGTTTAGGGTTTAGGGTTTAGAGTTTAGGGTTTAGGGTTTAGGTTTTAGGGTTTAGGGTTTAGGGTTTAGGGTTTAGGGAACATTCTGGCATAGTATAGAGGCCTCAAGAATTGCCTATACTATTGTTGGGGGGTTCCTTGTTCAAAGTATAGTATAGAGGGCGCCAAAACCCTATTCAAGCCCCTACACTATTTCGTCAGTGTTGTGTCCATATGGACCTGAAAGGGTGTTAAGACGTTCCCAATGCCGGCTCATAGGGTTTTTGGGTATATGTAAACCTCCCTGAGTTCCTGTCTTTACAAAGACAGCCCTGAACCCCTAAAACTCTAAACCCTAAACCCGAAAGCCCTAAACCCTAAAACCCTAAACCCTAAAACCATAAACCCAGGGGGAGATGCCAAGGGTTTTGAAGTCAGGGAGATTTCTTGCTCCCTGGGAGTGTGCGCCTCGAAGTTGCGAGAAACCTAAACTTGAGATGGCCTAAGTCTGGGCAGACTGTGATTCTTGCAATAATTACTGTTAGGGATTCAAGAGGAATTTAGTAGGATTTTTGGGTTTTCCACGAGTAGGAAAAAATCCTCAGCCCTAAACCCTAAACCCCTATACAGTAGAACCCAGCTTTGGGCTTGGATTCGGGGTGTGAGGGAGATTGGGTCTTATGGGGGCTTAGGGCTTGGGGTTTTGAGTATTACTAGTATCGGCTTTTAGGGTGTTGGGTTTAGGGTTTAGGGTTTAGGGTTTTGAGTATAGGCTTGAGGGTGTTGGGTTTAGGGTTTGGGGCTTAGGGGGTTCTGTGCTTTCAAAGGCTCAGGTTTACCGGGTTCTTGGTGAGGAAGATACCGTGATAGGAGATGATGGTAGTGGAAGTGTGTGTGTGTATATATATATATATATACATACTAGTATATACATACAGATGTGTACCACAAGAGCTTTAATGGCCTTGCGACGTAGTTTGGTTTAAATGACTAAATAAACCACCGACCTTTAAAGATGTATTTAGACGTACATAATATATACACACACACACACATATATATATATATATATATATATACATACACACACAAACCCTGAACCCTAAACCCTAAACCGTACATACTACGTGATACCAAATACATCTGGCCGAGACCTTGAACCCGAAATCCCAAAATTCAGGGATCCACCTGGTTTAGGATTTAGGGTTCAGGTTTTAGGGTTTAGGGTTTAGGGTTTAGGGTTTAGGGTTTAGGGTGCTGTCGTGACCTTGCGGAACCCTCCGTTTTCCTTTTGACTAGGCTGCAAGGCTCTCCGAGTTTTGAGAGTCTCGGGCTTGTGGGATTTCGGAGTTTGGGGGATTTTCAGGGTTTGTGGGTCAGTTAGGGTTTACATTCTAGGGTTTCGGTCTTCTGTCATATGCCATGCCTGCTCAGACTGATTTACTTCCGCACGCAGGTTTCCCGCAGGCGTTTTCGCCGTTCCGCGGCAAGTCTCTGTCCCTGCAGCCGGGCTTTTGCATTGGTATGGTGAATTTCAGGTTCTAGCAATGCTGTGTGAGACTTCGAGCTTGTTTCGATGATGGTGCCAGGGCCGTGGTGGTTCACAGAGGTTCGGGGTGGGTGGGTTAGGTAGACCCACTCGGGACTAGGTCTGGTGCTTCTTAAGCTACAGCTTTTGCAGGCAGCTGCTTGGATTGGTGACGTGAGATCTGAAGCCGAGGAGAATACCGTGATCGAGGGCGTCGCGAATCCCAACAGCAACGACCCGAGGACGAAACCCAACTATCGCGGTCAGACCGTCTTTGTCGCAAACAGTGGGGTGTCTCTGCTGCATGGTGGTGATGGTCGTGGTTTCGGTTCGTTTGGACGGTTGTGCTTGCGGCTGTAGTTTTCTTCTGCATTAGTCCTGCTTCAGTTGTGATCACTGTCCTTGCTGCTTTGTCTACGAGCCTAAACCCTGAGGGGGTTGGGGGAGATAGGGTCTGCGTCCCGAGCTCTCAATCCATCCATGGACATCCTACAACGACTTCAACCTGACGATGTTCGTCTTTCCAAGCCTTAAACATAAATCCTAAACCACACATTCTATTATTATCCTACATTCATAGTTTTAATATGCTACTAAAATCCTACATTCATATTTATTAATATCCTACATTCATGCTTTTAATATTCCATCAAAATGGCTTATCGGCCTGCAAAAAAGGGCTTTTGCCGGCGTAGGGGCTCGGGAGACGCAGGCTGCCGAGGGGGACCAAACTTCGAGGAAAGGGCCTGAACCACGAGGGTTTCAGGTTTAGGGTCTATATAGTTTTTTTTTTATTTTTTTTTTATAGGGTTTAGGGTTTATTTAGGGTTTATATAGGGTTTAGGGTTTAGCATTCAGGGTTTAGGGTTTAGGGTTTATATAGGGTTTAGGGTTGAAAAAGGGAATTAGGGTTTAGTGTTCAGGGTTTGGGGTTTAGGGTTTATCTAGGGTTTAGGGTTTCTGTAGGGTTTGGGGTTTAG